GAGGCACAAAGGAAGGAAAAGGAAGCAGAAGAGGCAAGGAGGCTTGAGGAGAGGCTAAACGATGACTTGCCTGGGGAAATGCAAGACCAAAACAAGGGCACTTTTCAGGATACACGGCCCTTGTTGCAGAAGGTTCCTGAACTCCTGCCGACCCCACCGTTGTCAGAAAAGGAAAAGGACGCTATGATTGCCTCCCTTCTGGAAGAACAACGGCTCCTGCGCGAACAACTCAGGACACAAAAGAAAGCGGAGCGTGAGAAAAAACCAGGCAAAGGGAAAGGCAGAGGAAGAGGCAAAGGTCGGGGAAAGAAATCGGATCCTGAGCCTGCAACCGCAGAGAAGAATAATGGAAATGGTGATGATGATGCTAGCGAAGGAGCTGATGCCATGGAAGCCGTTGACATAGCAAATGGCTTAGAAAGGGCGCTTGATGGAGAGGAGGACAATGGAAAGAAGCGGAAGCTGGCAAGAAGCAAAGCAAATTCCAAAAAGAAAGCACAGAAGACACATGATGCTGATGGGACGGGTGATGAGCATGATGAGGCGGTGGGCAGCGAGGCTGCAAAAACGAAGAAAAGAACAGTCGAGCCCGTCGAGGCTGGCTTGCTACAGTTCACCAACGTTGATCAACATTTTGTTTGTTTGAATTCACCAACCTGTGACCCATCTATCCAGGGAGACGCGGAAGAAGCTGCAAAGAAAAAAAGACAAGCCTATCGACAGGACAGAACCCACAGTTTCGTCTTGTTTTGCCGCGTGTCCTGGCCTCAAATAAATGCTTCGTCCAGGAAGCGCGCAGCAAGCACCTCCAGGAAGCCGTTTTGCTCCAAAGTGTTCCAGATAACATGTTCCAGATTGGTCTCAGTGAGGAAAGGCTGCAAACTGCCATGTCTGATACTTAAACAAGTCAGTGTTTGATTCATCAATCTTGCTCTAGCCCCTAGGTCCTGGACCATGGAACCACCCAAAGAAGTGCTGGACGCTGGGTTCAAGGATTGCTCGCAAATCCAGACTTTGTGGGAGACTTATGGGTTCATCATGGTTCATCCTATTATCTATATTTAGTTGAAGTAACACGAACTCCATAGAGCTCCTTTGTAAATTGAGGTTGACTGGATCCTTCTATGTCACCCAGATCGACGGCAGCATTGTTGATGAAGTCAACACACACTTTAAGAAGTCCTTCAAGGCAGGTTTGCTAGGTGATTCAACCCGCTGCCTCCTTCTGGTCGACTTCTCTTAATTCATCTTTGGTGAGGCAAACTCGAATGGAGGAGTGACAGTCACGTGGGGCACGCACGGGGGGATTGCGCAGGCGCCAGACTCTTAAAACGATGCTTAATAGTATTGTTCATGTGTATGCAATATGTTTATTTTTTCACATGTGGTCGGAAATCTGAGGTGGGATTTCGCCAGGCGCCTGGCAAAATGGACCCAGTTCTGAGCAAGTGGACATGTGTCTGACATCTAGGCACGGTCTAATTTTGATGGTGGGGATCGCACACTTCAAATGAAGGATAGAGCTGGTCTTTGACTGGTGTTCCTGAAAAGTGTGGCTTTTGACGTTTCAATCTCATTTACCAGAGTCGACTTGTCTGCCACAAAAAAGAAAAACAAATCGCGACACTAATAGAAACTTGTTCTTGGAGACTTGTGTTCTTGGACACTATTATTATATAGATCACCAATGTATTCGTATTGTTTCGATCGAGTTTTTTTGGTTCAGTCAGCTGCCGGCCTTTGTTAAGAGCAAGTGAATAATGTCACCTGCACGGTCTGCGTGTTGGCAAAAGAGCGAGCTGGGGCTCACTCAATGCGCTGCTCAAATGGCTTTGTTTTTGGGCGCACCGCTGGTATTGTCTGGTGCCTATTCCCAGGGTTCAACAATGTTGTTGTGGAACAACACGGGGTGCCTAGGCTCCACCTTGTAGACTTTGTGGTGCAGAAGAACTACAAACAATTTGGTCGCGCCATGAACCTATAGTTGGGACTTGTTATATCTGAATTGGTTTTCTTTGGTGCCTCAGGATTTGGAGTGCTTCGACATGTTCTGCGGTGAGCGATCTGTGGATTTAGCATTCCGCCCGCCCCTCGATGTTGAACCAATATAACACATACCATGCCGTTGGATTTGAGGTGAGGCTGGATGCAAGTCGTACCGGCCTCATGACCAGCTTACCTTTCGAGTAGTAAACAAACAATTACTATCAAAACAACCAAGGGCCTTCATGGACATAAAATTTGGAGAAGGCCATGATCTGGCCACCACGTTAGAACCTTGTGGTGGCACAGGACATTATTGAGGGCCATCTCTCCTGCACCCTGAGGCCTGGCTTCCTCAATGCCATATTGAATGTTCTCCGTCTCGTTCCAGACGGGACATTGTCCTTAGGACCGCCGTGCTCGTCTTTCACCTACATAAATTCAGGAACAAATAAACGATCTCGATCCATGCCTTATGGCAACGAAAAAATGAAATATGTGGAACTTGGCAGTTTGTTACTTTGCCTCAACTAGTTGTTTTTGCAAAACATTTATTTTTGCATACTTGCCACCACCAACCATGCGTATACTAGACATTAAATGATCATTACTGCAACCAAGGTTGTGCTCGAGAGCGTGTATGCTCATACTTCTGGCAACCATCAGAGGCGCGTACACTTG